ATGAACATTATAAATGTGGATGAATGAAGTCTCAATTTGACCAATTAGGCTCCAAATCTCACTATTAAGCATGAATAATACTAGGATATTGGCTGTTTATTAGTACTTATAAAGCATATATTAATGCCTTATGCTGCATGACCATATCCCTTAATCCACCAAATAGATAAACTTAACAAACAACCACCTAACTAAAATAAGCAGTAATTTGGAGTTTGAGGCAAATGTCATAGTTAATAGTAAAAATTGGATTCTAATCTAAAGTGTGACCAAAATCAGGATATTAGAACGATTTCTGAATGATCATTTTTGAATTTTATAATTTTATATATATAATTATTAATATATTCCATTATAAAAAATGTTGTATTATCTGAATATACTGTTTATTTGTTTCATTATTTATATTGCGCTACCATTATGGAACAGGGATTCACTCTAGATGTTATTTATGCAGCTCAGTTGATGTGGTTCTCTGTGTTGTGAAACCACAGTGAATTTTAAGCATATTTGTTTATTGGGCATTTGTGAATGCTTGTGTGTGAGGGTGTACATTATTGATAAGAAATAAGAAATGAAAAATATTCCTCTGTTATTTTGATTCTCCATTCTTCACCACTCTTATCTGAATTTGCGGAAGGCAAGAGCTCTGCAAGTGTCTCCTGTTCACATCCATCAAGTGGTATTTGGACAACACCCATCCAAAGAGAGCAAGATTGTGTGTGTGAGTACACATCTGAGAAACACATCTCATGATATTACATTCAGAGAGATGAATGTCTCTTCTTTGTTGTTTTACCAACCATGATTATTTTGGTGTGTGTGAGACGGTGGTCTCAAAGAGGATATTTGCTGATAAGCGTGCCAGAGAGAACAGCAGTCTTAATCGTGATGATGTTAACCCAAAGACCTTAAAGCTGCAGTCCGTAGCTTTTTTTGGCTTAAAAATTATCCAAAATACATATTTTAGAAAATACATAACCAGCCAGTGTTCAAAACTATCTGCTTGCCTTAGCTCGATTCAAAACGGTAAGCTTGTAATAATGTTTTTAATTCCAGTGGTACTGGTGGATTTCCGCGGGAGATTCGAGCATGTCTTTGCGTCATTACGTCACATCTTTACACATAAAGAAGAAGTCTCGGCTAGTAGGCTATATTGCGTGTGAGGATGTTGGAGGTGGAGATTTATAGTCTTTTCTCACAGCACTTGATATAATTAAACTTATCAATTTGATGGCGGATCCAGAAAGGTTCAAACGACAATCACCAGTGACAACTGAAGATTCACCCGCTGTAAAATGCAAAAGACTTTGTTCGGACTTCGGAGTGGCTACAGAAAAAAAGAGACTGCAACCGGACCCATAAGAAAACAATGATAAATATCGGAAGGACAATACATGTAGTCACGCAATGCTGACATTGTTAACATTAACAATTTGAGAACAAAGTAGCCTATAATTTGCACGGTTTTGCGCGATAAGCGATTTTTAGATTTAATCAGCGCGATTTACTGCAATGTCAGAACCACCATGTTGCTTACTTGTTCAGATAACATTTTCCGGTGAAAATTATTATGTTGGTCATACTTCCAAAAATAATTATCTGTGATTGCGAATGCCAGTATCCATCAGCGCGGTGATTGACAGCTGCACACTCTCCTCAAACATTGTGTTCATCCGCGCTGTGCCGAAGTACAACTCACGTTAAGTTGATAATTCCGCGAATGACTGCAATTGCAGATTTCGAACAGAGATGGCGACAAAGAGGAAAAACTGCGGACTGCAGGTTTAAAGTCCCATGCTAATGTGGGACATTTTTTTATTTACATTTTTTTAATCTTACCAACACTTCCAACAAACTACATTTCCCATATATTCAGAACGGATGGCTCTATGTTATCATATTTAGCGGATGAAATCTTAAATGTTTTTTAAGCCTTCGCTCAAAGCATCATCGTCTTGTTGAATTTAATTGAACATCAGTTCATTTAATTTTTTGTCCAAGTATACATGTATTAGTGAATGAATGCTTTTTTCTGGTGTAAAGTCAGTGAAATTGTTTCTCTTACAGTTGCACCTTGCCTGCTTTGCTGTTGATCTTAGCTGACTTTGTGAGGAAGGCTGGCTTGAAAGCCTCCTATCTTCCCTACTGGCAGCTCCTCCATTACCTACAAAGTGCTCCATCTCTCTCCGCTGAGGCTAGGGTGTACTGTGCTACTTCTGATTAATGACTCTGCCATTCCAGCTCAATTTATTACCATACATTTCACCATGCAATATAATCCAGCACAATCACCCTGTATGGAGGTATTACCATTGTGCCGTGATACTTGACACTATAATAGTAAAAATTATAAGAACTTATTTGTTTGGCATTTGAGGCAAATCCATTAGGTTGACTTGAATAATAGCTGTGACACTAAGGTACAACTTACTGCCCCTCGGTGCATATATGAACACATTTAATTGTCAAAAGAGCATTATATAATAATAAATCCTTTGAGGATCAGAAAAAAGCTGACAGCACTGAATAGAAATGATCAAACTGTGATATATCATACATTACCTGTATGATATACAATACTTTGGGTGTAGAATATAGAGGATAAGCATATATGTTCTCTTTTATGAGAGAAAAGTAGAGAGTGTTTGTCAGCAGTTTTCGGGATCAGCGCTAATTGTTGGAGCTCTGGGTAGCATAACAGGCAGATTGAGATGGTGTGAAAGTATGTCCTTATTAAGCTCTCCGCATTCACTGTGCTTGAACAAACATGCTTGGACTTCTCACCCTCAACCATTTATTCTGTTAAGTCAGCTTTTTTTCCGATCTTCACAGTTCGCTAGACAAGATTCATCTTGCACTTGTGGAATCTGACTAAGTCTCTGCTCCCACAGTCCTGCCTCCGCTTTCCCTTTCCAACATCCAAACATGCAGAACTGCCTCATCACCTGTTATTCTGAGTTTACTTTCTAGCTATGCTGGTATTTTGGCACATTCACTGCCAAAAACAGCAGCACTTTTACTCATATTTTTCTTTTGTGCCCACTCAGATAAAGTATTGCGAATACTGCAACAGAATCAGTCTCCCCACATTTTCAATAAACTTTGCAGGATGGCGTTCTCACCTAGTTTTTTTTTACTAAAATTTTCATAATTATTATGTTATATTATATTATATTTTTGTCAGCCCAACATTTTTGACAATATAGAGAATTGAATAAGCTTTCTTTCTCTTTGTATTTTTATATCAGTATGGTTCAGGATTATCATATTCAAATCAATGTGATAAATGAGTTAGGTCAAAAGTAATCAAAAAGGAGTCCGATTATATTACCTGAAATGTAACCGATTTGTAAGTAATCTACTCAGCACTGTAGATGTACATCTATATGCATATTTATTTATTTAAATCCAATACTACAATATATATTTTTCTCTTCAAATGGAATACAGAAGAGTATGCTTGTATTTGGGTTCTTGTTTTACTTTACAGTGCGCTAGTTCAGATACTTAAAAGACTAGCCATCCTAAATGATGCTCTCAGATGTTGTTTCTCTCTTTACGCTCCTGTTGGCTTCTTTTTGGCCATCCACTGTTATCGATCCATTAGACAAAGCAAAATGGAATTTCTAGCTATCTGCACCCTCTTAGTCTATTGTTTCCCTTTCAGTCACGCTAAGGTAATTCGTTTTTCAGGGGCCGTTGTTTCGCTCCCCTTTCACTGCTGGCTGATTGCCTTGTAGAACAGACCTGTCCATGTAACATTATCCTTGGTCTATGCTCTTTACCTCTAATTTATCTGTCTAGTAAATGCCAGGATAACCAGGGCCTCTGACATATCCACGTCCTTCTAAAATGCCATGTTCTGTTTGGCTCTTTTTTGTTAGTCAATGGAGCTTTTTTAATAAAAAAGATTATTTGTATTATCTGATTATTATTTAAGATTATTATTATTATCTGTAAATTAAAAAGTGGGAGTCAATCTAACTGAACAGTATATGACCGTCTAATACATACTGTATAAACAAAAGGGAAAGCACTTGTGAAAACCGCAAGCTCCAATCAGATAGTCCGACGACAACCTTTTGTGTTTGTCTTCTCAGAAACAAAAAAGGTACTTGATTGATATGAACACTTGCAACGAAGAGCTAATTGAGCTTAAAGAGCTCAAGTTTTCCAGGAATCTGGATTCAAATTTTATATTTAGAAATTTTGCTAGCAAGTTAAGTAGATTCATGAGCTGAAGTATTCAGCTTTGCTTTGAGATGTGAAGAAACCACTGCTAGTTCACAGTACACACTTATAGTGCTTTTCCAGAGATGCGGACGCCAGAGAGAATCAGAAATGAAATAATCAACATAAATCCAATTTCATCAAGAATCACACATTATGGCCATTGTTAAAAACTTGCTTTCATTCTGGTTCCATTCATGTAACTCCCACTTTCCAAATATTTTCCATTGGATAAATCAATCTACATTCTTCTCATTGAGTATCCAGCTGCACTCTCAAATATGTCAAATTGAGTTTCATGAGCAGAACTGTATAGATTCAGCTTTCCTTTCTGAGTTATGTGAAATAACCACTGCAAGTACAGTGTTGTATTGCAAATTTGTTGTATTTGCATTGCATTCCTATTCCTAATGCCACAACTGAAATGCAGTGCAGTCTCAAATAAGTCAAATTGTGGGGGGTGGGGAAATGGGTTTCAAAAAGCAATTCACATTGACTTTATTCACTCAATTCACATTTTTTGAAACAAACAAAGAATAAGCTAATGGTTTTCAACTGCGGTATAGCATTAGCAACACTGACTTGGCACAGTACAAGTGTGTCACGAACACTATCCACAATACTAGTGAATATGCTAAAATTTGAGAGTGGGTAGCATAACTAAAAGAGTTTTTCAGGTTTCTGTGAAAATATTCCCTGAGCTGCATATTCAACCTTTGGCATATGGCATAAGAGCTAATTAGAACTATGCTAATGTGCTCCCTCAGGCCCAGCGACTGAAGAGGAAACCAACTATGTGCTTTGATATATCTGTCATGCTTCAGCAGACACTAACAAGGATGAATCTGAGACACTACAGACCCTGCATAATAGGTCTGTATCGTTCAACTTATTATTTACAGGTGGTCTTATCAGTTTAATTTGTGACTTTTAGTGAATTATTTACTTTTAACTTCTGCACATCATGTGGGAAATACTTGTTTCCTAAGAAGCTTAATATTTTAATATAGCTGATGATTCAATTGATTTACATCCTTGTCCTTGATTGCACTGCACAGTTTAATTAATAATTTGTCATTTAGCCGCACCTTTGTCCTCACTGTCTTACAGTGCACTTATTTCAGGGATAGTCCTCCTGAGGTTAAGTGCCCGGTTTCAAGGATAAAATGGTGATGGATCAACTTAATCTCAGCCTCAGACGGCACGTCCACTGACCGCCCACAGTCTGTGGGCTAAACTGGCTGTCTGATGCATGTTGTGCTAAAAAAATGTCAAGAGCCAGCTGAAATCGTTTGTTCCAATCTGATTAACTGGCACTATGCAACATCAGGGAGTCAAGGGAAAATGTATAAATTAAATGTATACAAGCTAAATAGGGGCATCAAATACATTTTCTTTGAGGCACTTTGTAGCAAGTAAACTATGTACTCACAAGCAAAATGACCTGTTCTGCTTTGTTTGTTGTGGACTGATACTTCTGTAAATTAGGATTTCAATATTGGTTTATTACTGAGGTTATTCTTATATAACACAATATTGCATATTCCTTTAATTCAGATAAAGTGATTTCTAAATGAGACTTAAAACCAAAACAACGTTAGTAGCCTACTTTTCATGTAGCCAGTAGCTAATCAAACAGACCTTTCCTGTCTAAAGTGGGAATTAATTTCCATTCATTTTCCTGCCATTCAAGTTTTCCTGATTTTCCATTTAAGTTTTTATGCATTTGCATGGCTTTTTCCAGTAGTAGCCTACTAGAAATCGCCAATGATAAAATCCTCTGATATTGTCAGGCTTTCCATGGCAGTGGGACCCCTGCTTATTGTAAGCCCATTTCGCAAATAACAGAAATTTAGAGCGAGTCAATATTAGAAGCGCGTCACGAACAGGCAGGTCCGTGAAAGCTCCGTTCCGCGGTAGGTGGTGCTAAACTCATGCACATTTTGTCGGTACCTCGGTGGCTACACAGGATGATTTTAATCGCCCTGGACAGCGTCCAGCGTCACTCACAGTCTCAGCAAGTCAGCGCGCTGCGCACGAGAGCAACAACCTCATTCCTGGATAGGCACTACGGGCAAGTGCGCGAGCGCAGCGCAGCGCGCGGACACAATTCGCCTTTTCGTTCGCTGAGAGAGGAGCGCGCGAATGGTTTTCAAACTGAAATGAATCGTTAACGGCCGTTTGAAAATGAAGAGGCTTTCTCGAAAGCTGACTTTAGCTCTCGCAGCGCTGTTTTGGATAGCCGCTTTACTCTATTTCATATTGCTGAATAGCCGGAAAATACTACCTGACCAAAGAAACGAGCAACCTAAAGTAAAAGAGGTGAGTGATAGCCTACATCATAACCTCAAAGACGAAATGGCTTGAATTGGTTGGTTTATTGGTTTTTAAGATCTGTCAGTAACTCTTTAATCCCTTATTTTCTATCTCTGAGAGAAAATATTTGTATAGGTGCGTCACTTTTTTAATACCTGAGCCGATAATAAAGAACAAAACTGTCCAATGCGTAGAATCCTTTTTATTGTTGGGTGAGTAGCTAAATTTCAGAAATCCTTTTCTGAAATATAACGTTAGGAGAAATTTAGCCTATAGCTATACTTTTCCCTTGGGAGACGAAATAATATGCTTTGCAATAACCTTTTCACATTAACCTTTTGTTTGTTGACATTAATTCTATAATAGCATTTTCTCTCTCTCTTCTCCTATTCAAACATTAATTCCTATCAGTCACAATGATGGACGCATGGAAACAGCTTTAATATATAAGTAAATATTTAAATAGTTCGTAATTAAGGCTATAAATGAACCAATATTTGTACCCATGACATTTGCTCTAGAAACTGTTCAGGCACTTTCTGACTCCCCACAGGAAAGACATACCACAAAACAGATCTCTGCTGTCATTTGTTTCTCATAGACATGCAGTAATGAGTTGTATTAGGCTTTAATTTCATATTTTCTTTTGACAAATAGTGATCTCACATGTGGTTCTTCTGTTCTGGGGTTTCAAAGGAGTCTCAAGCGGTTTGCAAAAAAGATACCAGTCTGAGATTGAACTCACATTCCTTACACGATCAAATTATGTGAGCTATATGCCATCCACATTCATTTTATCTATATTCTTTTTTTTATTGTAAACAGGTCTGATTTGAATCCGTTGTATTCATCCTAAGGCATTGAAGGAGAAACATCTGAGACAAAACTGATCCTTAAAGAACTTAAATCTATCAAAGAGCAAAATTTCTGCTCATACTTCATGTTTAATTCCCAATGAGACTTATTCAAGATTATGTTTCTTATTAAGATGAACTCTGTATACTGTATAAAAAACAGTCAATTGTTTTATGTGTGTGAGATATGAATAAGCAATTGAACTTTCTCTGAATACGTAGGGGATTTTACCATGGAGGCAATCAATAATTCCACTATTTGGTTCAATATATCTGTCCCGAGTCCCGACTAAGATAGAAAGTAATGGGAAAAGAAGGTCATTCAATGATATTCACAAACAGTTTAAAGTGAGATTATGCTAATATCTGTTGCATTAATAAAAAGGTCTGCTGTATTGTAGCTGTAGGATGCGTAAATCTGCAGCAAATTCTTGTACATCTTGTAAGTCAGTTTTTCACTGAAACAGCGGCTGGTATATGACAATAAAGTATCACTGAGGGTAATGGGGTATGAAACATGATATATGGTGCAATATATCACAACACTGAACAACACTCTATAGGAACGGAAATATGAAAGCAGTTAGCACGTGCTCCTTACATCTGTATGGAGACAATGATTGACTTTTTATGGTATAATGACTGGATTCATCTCAGAAGAAACAGAAAAAAATATTAGCTGGTGAATGCTTGAGTAGTGATGGATTTGACTTTTTTATTCTCAGGTTTTTATGTTATTGTACGCCCTTTTGTGAGACGAGTATGTAAAACTAAAAACAAGTAAACAGTTAATGTGGCCTTGAAAACCGCAGTGTGATAGATTTTTCAGACACTCCGTCTTTAAATACAACTAAGCGCTGGGAGAGATGTCTACTTTAGTATTCTGTGTTGAACAACATGTTTCCATTTGCGGTTTGCTTCAATATCTATTTTCTGTAATAACCCTGACAGGGAAGGCCGAACCTGAAATAGCTGTTATTGGCGAGGAGGAATATGAAATACAGGGTTGGCACAGCGGCTGTTGAGGTGAATGCGGTGTGTGTCACGGTGGCCGGTGTGTTCAAACCATTCATCAAATGGTGGTGACATCTCACTCAGATTCGATGGCTAGATACTCCCCCATCAGCAGAGTGATGCATTATCTTTATAATGGTAAGGGAGGACTGAGATATCACCCATGACATCTGCTATTACCATGATTCATGGCAGATATGTCCCACAATACAGATTACACAAGTAGACAGTGTTGTTGTGTGGTATATTCATGATGGCTTCGTGTCACTGGTGTTGAGGTGTTAGACCGGACAGATGGAGTTTGATGGACTCATCATTTGCTTGCACATGAATTCTGACAGAACATCAGAATTAATCATTTTAATGCAGTATATACCGCAGACCAGTTTTACAGTCATGCATGACTTCTGTACCTGCTGAGAGTGTGCTGAGGCCCTTAAAAAAGAAGCAGGAATTCAGAGGAAGCCTTAGGAGAGTTCTGATGTGTGGTTTTGTGCATTGCAAGAGGGCAGAGGCTTTGGTGGTGTAGAATGCTCTATAAAAAGGACCCACACAACCACACATACAGAGTACAGACGACAGGACAGGGAGGATCCAATTACCACTTCCTCAGTCTGTCCTCCTTCTCTCATTAGAAGGCTGAGCTCTGTGGGAGCTGGGGGAACACTGAGCCCCAAACGTGGCACAGCTCAAATGCCCTGATCAGTGACTGTGGAGCATCAAGGAGCTAATAATTTCAGCGGGGAGCGTGGGGGTGGGTGCGCGAACACTGCCTTTTGAAGGCGAGTAAAATTGTTAAGCAGATAGGAAATTTGACACATCGATTCAGTACCTGTCATCTTTTTTTCATGTGCTAATTAAATTCTGTTTCGATCACGGAGTATGCTTAATCATTAAAAGAGTTAATTTTGCTGCGTGTCATTGTGCCCTAATCTTTAAGTGTCTAGAATAACAACAATGTTACATTTTTACTTGCGCTCTCACCTTTTGTCATTTAAACTTTAGCTCGAACATAACAATAACTAGCTTTGAACATTAACAATAAGCTTTCAAATTTTTTGATTTTCTCATGAAATGTGGCGTGACAGATCGCTGTAGCAAGCAGCAGGGTCAGAGTGCATGTGAATTGTTTATCTCTTGTGTAGTTTAAATGTTTGTATACACATAATTTTTTATTTGAGTGTTAATTATAATATCTGAAAATAAATAGCAATTGAATTTGGACTCTGTTGATAATTTTTAATCTTTAATAAAGAACTAAGGATTCTATAGTTAATTCGTCCACTGCTGAGGTTGCCTAGTTTACCCCACAAAAAGGGTTTACCGTGTTTGTTTTGTGTGTTTTTTTGTGGCAGTACTTTTAAATTCATTTTTTTTTGTGCAGTAAGGGTTATAGATATTTAGCCTAAAACCTATATCACTATATCAATGCACTATCACAGTGCTGATGGCCTACACCAAGGCTGCATCTGAAATCACGTACTTTCTTATAGTAGACGAAAAACAGTATGTGACAAATGTCCGAATTCACAGTATTCATAAAAGAGTAGGCAAAAAGTGCTTGGATGTCCCACTTCTTCCGGGAAGATTCTGAAGTATGCATACGATGGACACTTTACTATCCCATGAGGCCACGGGAGAGGATTTTGTGAATGAAAGTGACGCGACGCAACTGACGCTAAGGTTACGTGATAATGACAGCATGGTGAATGTGGTATGTCTGGTTTACATTCAAACATGTTCATACTATATAGAACATACTTTTTTTTAGTGGTTGTGAACTGTGAAGTAATTACCTATTACTAAAATAAGTACCTACTCAAGAGAGTATGAGATTTTGGACACAGCCCAGGTGTTTTCAAACCTGTCCTGGATCATTCCTAGCACTGCACATTTTGTATGGCTCCCTTAGGCTGGCCACACTTGATGATTTTAAGCCCGATTTTGAGCCCAATTTGCACCCCCGATCCGATGCTTGTTGCAAATGACTTTTTGTCCAAAAGATCAAGTGTTGTCATTACGATTGTTTTACTGCCCCGGATCCCATTGGAGCCCGCACAATCCCAAATCGTACATATCAAACATGTTTCGTATTTACGACTCTTGATCGGGGGCTGCCTCTGACTACATTTTTCTTCCCAAAACTCAC